CTGTAAGGTCAAAAGATGCAATTAAGACCATCTCTGTCTTCTATTTCAATCCTATTTACACAGTCTAAATCTAGTATTATCCCAAAAGCAAACGAGTATCATTCCCTGAGTATAGCATTAGAGAATTGATCTGAATGTAGTAGTAACCTTACACTGTGCACAAATAATTGAATTAAGTGAAGGTGTTTAATAACTAAAATATGGTTACTTTTACAAGTCATTAATAATTAACAATTTAGCTTGCCAATCAAATAAATCTTCAAAGGCCTAATAAAACAAGAGAATTTTTTGAAGAGCTCTACCTGTCTTCTGCAGTATCCTGGTCCTCTGCCATATCCTTGGAGACCCAATGACTGTAAATCAAAGGAGTGCAAGAGGGCCAAAGTTTCTATCATTGTAATATACAACGCAGAACGCTCTGCTGGGCCCACTTCAGGCAGTGAGAGGTCTCGGAAGATGCGACCCTAGAAACAGTGTAAATCAGGTATTTGGTGGGATGTACACATCGGATGAAGAGAAGTAAAGCTATACTTTTGAAGAGCAAAACCATATGCAGTGAACCAACACTCCCTATGCAATCAAAAACTCCTTCCGCATTTATTTTACTTCTTGCCCAGGACAGATGAAGGGATTCACAGTAATCTCAAATCATTAGTATAGAGAATAACTATTGGAAGACAATTAAAATAACAGATATATTCAGTAGATGAAAGTCTGAATTAGAGCACTCAATCCAGATATCCTCATGCTGGAAAGTACCAGAAAAAAAAAAAAAAAAAAGTTACCGTATTGTCTCTAATGGCTAACTTCCAGAAAAATTATCAATGAAGACCTTGGGGAGGGAGGGGCAGGAGGGGAGAGGAAGGGAATGGGTGGGTTGTACCTGTAAGGAGGCAAACAATCCAAAGACATTTGCTTGTGTTCTCCTTAAAAGCAGTTTAATACATTTAGAAGATGAGTGTGTTTTTCCATTTTCTCCTTTTATTTTGACCCTGACAGTAACAGATTGGAAAAGAAAAACCAGACTCTTCTCTAAGTTCCTCAGTTTCACTGTTTCACACAATAGCTTCAATATATTTATACAGCTACAGCATCAATAGAACTTTTTTGCTCAAAGATTGTGCATAACAAATCTAGAAAACAGATTTTGTATTGTGTAATATTCAACACAATCAATGTATGATTGTTTTCTAAATACACAATGTATTTGTTAAAAGTAGTGCACCGCTGTCCATCATAGAATGGATACTGTAAATTTACATCCTTAGAAATGTAAATATAACAGTAGCAAGGTTTCTCACTAAGGAGCCACTTTGTTCTAGTCAAAATCAGAAAAATTCTCCATCTTTAATGTAAGAAATTAGCTTCAAATTCTTCATAGCTTTTACATTTTATTTTCAGCTTGATTCATGTTTTTTGTAGGAAGGTTAACTTAATTTTCAGGAATTGGCCCATAAAGTCTTATATTTCTAATTTCCTAGTGAACCTGATGATAGAGCAGGATGCAATGACAGGGAAGAGGCTTGAATTCAAATTCTCCTCACACAGGAAAAAAAAAAGAAAAATACACGATACAGCAGACTTACACTCAAGAGTCACCAAATCTAATAGAAACAGGATCAACTCAGCTACAGCATCCCAGAGGGATGGACCACAGACAGCTGTGCCATGTTCTTTCTGAAAGTAGTGCTTGAGCTGGAATCCTGCTTGTTTTGCGAGAAAAGGTGATATGCACACTACTATCTTCAGTACTAAACAGGTCCCAGGATGTCCAAGGATCCAGCATAACTGTATAGCATGATATTTCTCCCTCTGACTTGTGTATGCTTTTTACAGAAGCAATATTGATTCATTTCAAGACATCCTCCTGAGAGCTCAAATGAGAACAAGAGGTTAAATACTGAGCTGAAAAATTTCGACGAAGTAGGAAATAAGTCCTGGAGAAGCTGGAATCAGTGAGAATCCCTGATAGCTAACATTTCTTTAAAATATCAAAGGATTATTTACGTTTATATCACAAAGCTAAGTAAATGCCAAACAAGGCTCAAACAGAAAAGTTTTAAACAATTTAAAAGCAGTTTGTGGTAGAGAGAAGAAAAGAATCTCTCACGTTGGAGGACCAACCTGCACATGCTGCATTACATAAAACTCTGTTCCGATGACAGAAACGTCACTGCAATACAGCAGGGGCTCAGGAACTGGAAATCCAGCTGAAAATAAGGCTTTCTGCACACGATATTCTCTATCGATCTGAAGAAGACACAGAACATAGGTTCAATGAAAAGTTCCCAACATAAAAGAGTACAGTGAATGACAACATATCTTCTTAAATGTTTAGTTACGTATACAACACAGAAAACCAGAAAAGATCCAGCAAACACAGAAAACCAGAAAAGATCCAGCATTTCACTCCATTTCTAGACACATGCAACTGTATGCTGCACCATCACGTACACGACTTCTCCACCTGCAATACAAAGTGTTTGGAGCTTGCTGAAGAGTGTTACCTACCTTGTGAGCTCTAGGTAACAGAGGGCCATGGGGCTTCTTCCTGAGCACATAAGCCTGCCCACCCTTCTGAAGATAAAAGGTTGGATTTGACTGGCCTGAGCTACAAAGAGAAAGATTATCATTACTTATGAATGTCAAGTACTTAGAAATTTGCAAACTGTTAACAGAAATTATGCTAAATGCAGTCACTTGCCCTGAACAAAATGATAGCCTACAAAATTGGGAGTCAGAGGTTCTATTCCTACCTATAAGAAAGAGGACTTCTTTCACTGCAGAGAGATCACAGATACTCAATTTGTTCTCATGTGAAATGGAGATTTACTTCTCCTCCCTAAAGAGGCATTATCAATGTTTTCAAGGTACGCAGTAGATACTACCTTTAAAGCTTTCCAATTTGGAGGAAATTAAACAGAGCTGAAATCACAATAGCCCATAACTGTATTTTTCATTTGGCAAGCTGTATTTTGAACAACGTAAGTGTAGAGAAACCTCTCTAAGTAACTGATGAGTTCTAGTGCCAAGCCCCACTGTATGCTAGCCTGATCATCACATACATATGCTATGCTTAAAGGACTGCCTATAGTAACTAAAGTTTTAAAGAATGAATGTTGCAGTGGCAAAGAATCATAGAAATTAGACATTTCAATCACATATGCATGTAAAAGTACAATCTGGTTTAAATCCTTCATAACACCTTGTCCATCATATCCCTATCATCAAGCTCATTGATCTTTATTTTCCTCAAGGCTCTGTGCCTTCCTCTCCTCACGCAAGATCATTTTTAAGACGCATTCTAACCTAGTCCAATAAAAGATTAGACTTGCACTGGAAAATCAAAATCAAGTGAACTTCTGCCCTCATGCACCCCACAATATTTCCATTCTCCCTGAGGCAGTTAGGGCATAGTCTGTAAAATAGTTCAACAAGTGCAGTGCACAAATACCCTGCCTGGAACAGCAGAGATTTAGATTGGTTGAAGCCCTGAAGTGCAACCGCAAGACAAAGTAGTAAAAGCATAAATATTGGCAATATTTTAGCAGATTTTACTAATAGCTATTCCCTGAGGCCCCTCTTAAAATCTTCTCAATTGAAGTTACATATGAGGATTAGAGTACAGCTGAGGATTCTGTGGGTGTTTTATGTTTACATCAGAAGACTGTTTACTGTTTCTTATTCATAGCTGCAGATAAAGCAGTCAATGTCATGTTCACAACAGAATCAATACATATTTTCAGAAGAACTTAACATCTAATCGTAAGCCCCAGACTGGAAGTCACGCAGCCACCCCACTAATTTGCAGAATGCAAATAAACTAGATGATCTGTGCAACAGCAGCTCTGGAGCCCAGGTGTAGCACCCAGCACCTTGCTGACACGATGCACTGCTCTCAGGGCACTAATGGGAATCTCAGCACAGTGGTCGGCCGTTTTCATGGATCCATTTACCTGATGATAACCTAAGGCTTTGCAAATTAATTAAGCCATGCACGTGCTCCTGAAGATAACGATTTGCCGTGCTGTTAAAGAGCAGCCAGGCAAATCAGGATTTATGAGGAGGCAATAAAACGGCTGTGCGCACACTCCATGGGAGCGCACTACAGAGGGCCGAACAAGGGTTTTTTTGTTTGTTTGTTTTGTTTTTTTTTTTTTCTGAGGACTGCGGGAAGCCCGCCCAACACACCCACCGCCCAACACACCGCCCGGGCCCGCCGCAGCCAAGGTCACCTTGGCCTCCTCCGGCCCTTCAGGGGACCCCTCGGCGGCCCGTGTCTGCCACCACTCGGGCAGAGGGCTCTAACTCCGGCCACCTCGCCTGCTGGGCGGCGAGCAAAGCCGCCGTCCTCCTCCTCCTCTCCCCTGAGGGGAACGCTCCGGGCTCCGGCTCCACTTCCGGGGGCGAGGGCCCATGTCAACAGCCACGGAGGCCGCGCTCGCCCCTCACCGGCGGCCTCGGGGCAGGGGGGCGGCCCGCCCCTTTTTACCTGTACTGCCTGACGGCCAGCCCCGCCGCGGGCAGCCGCGGGAAGCCGGGCAGGCGGCAGGCCAAGTACCGCTCCAAGCTGCCCTGGTCGAAGCGGTGCTGCCGCCGCACTTCGCCGGTGCCCGGCTCCGCCGCCATGCCCGCCCTACGCCGGCAGCGTACGCTGCGCACCCGCCCTCCGCGCCGCTACGCTACTAGCGGAGCTGCCCGGCGTCGCCGCGGCAACCGCAAGAGGCCTGGTCCGACAGGGAAAACGCTCCCCGGCGCCCGGTTAGCGGCTGGCTCCCCCGGGAAAGAAAGCGGCCGCCGGGAGGTCGTGACTTGTCCGCGTTGCCCCGTGGTCAGAACCCGCTCGCTGCCCGCTGTCGGGCGGCAGGAGATCCCCCCTACACACACACACGCCTCCCCTCTCTAGAGGTGGGAACGCTCCCTGAGGGGCCGGCGGGAGCAGGGGACGGCGCTTCCCCGCCGCTCCCGGAAGCTGAGGCGGGCGGGGGTGTGTGGGGGACGGACACGGGGGACGTGTCGCTGTGGTGTGGCCATGGCGGAGCTGGAGCGGTTGGAGCGGCGGGTGCGGGAGCTGGAGGAGGAGCTGGCCCGGGAGAAGGGCGGGCGGCGGGCGGCGCGGCCCCGCATCGAGAGCATGAGCCCGGAGGTGACCGACTCCAACCCTTACAGGTGCGGCCGGGGGAGCGGGGGGGATGAGGCCCAGGGGCTGAGTCGGGGTGTGGAGGATGGGGAAGGGCTGTGGGGTCTCGGGCCGTGGGTTGGGTTCGTCAGTCTGGGTAGAGGAGAAAAGGAGCGTGGATTTGGGCTCGGGCAGGGGGGGGCCGGGGGTTGGAGCTGGGTGTGGTGTGAGGGCGGTGGTGAAGGCAGGCGCTCTGTGGGGCGAGGGGGGGAGATGCTCTCGGATTTCCCAGCCCAGGTGCAGCGGCGGGGCTGTGGGTTATCTTGCTTTGCGGGACAGGGAGAGGGAGCGGAGTTTTTCAGCCGCGTTGCTGATAAATGGGACAGGTGTTGGCATTACATGAGGTCTTATTCCTCTAACTTACCCATTTTAGAGTTTGGTTTGGAGAAGTCTTGAGCATCTGGGACCCCTTCTAATGCTCAACACTTCTGGAAATCTGATGTTTTCTTTTTTTTTTTTTTTTTTTTTTTCTTTTAAGGATGAATTGCTTTAATACAAGTTAATACCTGTACTTTCATTGGTACTTCAATGAAAAACAGCAGTAGCAGGATAAAACGTTACTTTAAAATCCTTCTGGTTATCCTCACAACCTGATATGCTCTAATTTTATTCTAATAATATGTTGGAAATCAAGTTGATCAGAAAATAGCGGAAGGGTCTTCAGTGGCCTGCTGCCATATGGTTCGTTACAGAAAAAAAGTGTAGGCTTTCATTCCGTAAATCAGGGATTCATTTACAAAAATAGTTATGGATCCTCCTGATTTCATTGGTGTTACTCATACCAACTGAATAAGTATGTGAGTTTCTGCAGGGTTAGTACTCTGTTGCTGTTTCTAATAGGAAGACATCAGCTAGCACAGTTAGACTGTCTAGCTGGCAGTCACGACTGCAGCGAAAACAGCAGGCTTGAGTATGATGCTTGGTGGGGTTATTTTTAAAGCAAAACTGATTTTATATATCTGAAAAGCAGAATTCCTATTGAAAATGTAGAGAGCATTTTCTGTGTAATATTGCCATTTTTCTTTGTAGTCGCTTGATGGCGTTAAAAAGAATGGGAATTGTCAAAGACTATGAGGTAGGATTCTATCTGCATTAAAACAGACTTGCATTTTTTCCCCTGTGAGGACCCCTTTGGATATACTGATCTGTATTTTATTTCTTTCTACAGAAAATCCGTACTTTTACAGTTGCAGTAGTAGGTGTAGGTGGAGTTGGCAGTGTGACTGCTGAAATGTTGACAAGGTGTGGCATTGGTAAGGTAATGAGAGTTTTCTTCTTCTACTTCTTTATAGTAGATGGGCCAGTCTTCTTCATGAAGGGTTAGATTCGATTTCACTCAGTTGATTCTGCCCAAATAAAAAAAAGTACTACGAAGAAAGTACTCAAGAACAGCACTTGAGTAAACATCACAAATGAAGAGTGTGTATTTTTCTTATGCTTGTAAAATAGATTTATTTAGGGTTTAATCCTGTATCATATGGATGATTCTTATTGGAATGCTTGCCTTGTGCATGCTCTTATAGGAGCTCATCTGTCTAATCTGCATACTGGATTATTGCAAAGGTAAGACAAAATAAAGAAAAAGGAGGGGGTAACTCACATAGAAGTTTATCTCTCATGTTATGAGAGAAAGTTGACATTCATAAAACTGAAATGCAGTAGATGTCAAGCAGCTTTTTGTCACAAACATTAGTTCATCATATGGCAGACAGAGCTAAAAATTTAACAGCAGTTAAAAATAATTCGATCTGTGTATAGATAAGAACCTCCAGAGTTAATAGAATAGAACATTTTGGGCACAGAGAAGGACATTGGATTCTGAATTTATAATAATCAACATGTCCATGTATTATGTAGGTATTTTAAGTGAATTGTTTTTGAAGAACTACATGCTGAGACAAGTGAAAGAAATTACACGTTTCTAGTTAATGCCATAACAGCAAGCAAGAAAGTGATAACAGAGTTGATAGTGTTCATGTAGATAATCTGTTGAATATTCTTAGTTTAGATCAAATGAACAGATTGCTTTTTATTGAGAGTAGGTTTTGAGACTTAATGAATCAGTTCAGGTGAATGGCAGTTAGAATTCAGTCTTTCATCTACTTACAGTGTTGGTAACTTTTGTACGTGAACTGAATGGGACTGTGGACGTGGGGAGTTGTTTGGTTGGGGGGGTTGTTTTTGGTTTTAGAATGAGTTTGGTTGTTTAAAATGCCCTGCCATAGTGCTCTGGTTGCAGAGTCTTTGGAGATTCACATATGTTAATACAATCTTTATTGTAGCTGCTTCTGTTTGATTATGACAAAGTGGAATTGGCAAACATGAACAGGCTCTTCTTCCAACCTCATCAAGCTGGATTAAGTAAAGTGCAAGCAGCAGAGCATACTTTGAGGTATAACTTAGAGAAGTGGGTATCAAAATGTATTTACCCAGGATGGTGCTTCAGAAAACTGATGTTTCACTCTTAATCACTTGCAAAGTAGCATGATCTAATTTGGAAATTTGAGTATGAAATAGCTGTGGGAATGGTTGATACTTTAAGGACACTTTTGTACTGACCAAAACAGTAATGTGAGTATACTTTTAAAGTATAGCTAATTTTGCCCACAAGTTTGATATAAACTATGCCACTTGAATATGTTGTGTTTTTTTTTTTTTTCATTTAATCTGTGAATTTTTGACAACTATGGGTATATTCTAGACTTCAGAGTGGAAGCTCAAGACTGTAGCAACACTTGCGAAGTTAGGGAGTAGAATGTAAGTTATCATTTTATTTATTAATATTGACTCATACTATTTCCTCCATAAGGAATATCAATCCTGATGTTCAGTTTGAAGTACATAACTACAACATCACAACACTGGACAACTTTGAACACTTCATGGATAGAATAAGGTAAAATCTCTCAACAAAAGCAGATTACTAACTTTTGCTGATGTGTGGTTCTATACAGCCTCACATTTTTTTTTTTTTCCAATTAATGACTTCCAATTGAAAACCAGTGGGAAATATGTATATATGAAGACATTCCTGCCTAGACCTTTTCTCTAGGGTTGGCATTTATTTCTGTTGTGCCATAGTTCTATTTTATATTAGTGCATCTTTAGATTTCCAACCAAAACTGCAGGTCTTACAGGCTTTCCCCAGTATAGAAAAGAGAGCAGATCATGTTTTGACTGCTCTGGAGTAGTTTCAGGTATCCTTTGTAGAATGAAGAAAAAAAAATAGTTATTAGTGTATCTCACAGAGAAGTTCTGAAATAACTTTTCCCATTTGTCATAATGTTTTACAAAGATACCATTCTCCAATACTTTGTACTGTGAGCATATACTATGTAAAGCTTCTTTTAATCCAAAATGCCCATATATTTAAATCCCAGCTTCAGCATGCTGTCGTTTCTTCTGTAGATTTAAGATGCTAGATGTATCCTGTTCTGCGTTTGCACAGGCTTTGCTAGAAATGCACTTCCCCTGTGCTTCCATACTCTGAAGCAGCATGTTGATTGCCATGTTGGTCTTTTGTTCTGTCAGCAATTTCATGCAAAATTCTGATACTTATTTCAGTAACGGTGCACTAGAGGAAGGGAAGCCTGTCGATCTCGTTCTGAGTTGCGTGGACAATTTTGAAGCTCGCATGGCAATTAACACGGTAAGGCCATCAAAGACTTCCACAAGCTCGTGCCTATTTCTCCTCTAAATAATGTTAGGAATTGTGGGGACTAGAGAAAAGATAGGAATGTATCAGGAATCTTCTAAGACATTTCCTCCTTGGTTTAAGGAAACCGAGTCTGAGCTTTTACCCAATTCTTATAAAAGATATTTTATGTGTATAAAAATAACTGTAGACTTTTAAGTTACTAGCAGCTAATGGTTAGTAAAAGACTGTCGTAAGCCCTGTCTGTCTTTCCAAATTATCCTGTTCATATAAAGGTATTATCAAAGCCTGGAATGTTAAATCTTACAAACCTTTTAAAGACTGTGTATAGCTAATTGTATACTTCATATGACTTTTGGTATACTAAAGATGTCTTAAGGCTGCGTACCTAATCAAACTGTTTTTCATTATAGTAGCAGCCAGTGTCGGGTAGGTGCCAAACACATGTGTTCTGCTATCCTTCAGCTGACTTGATGTGCAAATTGCATGCACTGAAGGCACGCAGATACACTGTATCAGTGCTGCCAGAAGTTTATTCAATGAGATTCTGTAGTGTGCTAGTAACTGGATCACCAGTGCCTGTATTTGTTCAGAAGACTCAGGGTCTCGGGAAGGCACAAAGGGCTAGCTTCAGGAGGACAGCTTTAATTTGTCCTTTGATAAACAATTTCTCTTCTGCCTTTTCATGTTCCTTTTTTCTGATCGTAGCTTTCTTGTTGTAGTGGAGGAAGATCAATGTGTTTAATCACTCTCAATTGACAACTTTTTTTTCCTCCATGATACTTGTGCAGTGCTGATGCGTGTGTTTCTGTGTTTATAAGGCCTGCAATGAACTTGGACAAATCTGGATGGAATCTGGAGTGAGTGAAAATGCAGTGTCAGGACATATACAGCTGATCGTACCTGGTGAATCTGCTTGTTTCGCGGTATGCAGTGCTCTGCTGAATTGCTCATTTGTCTTTCTTTTAAACTGGGACTGGGAGCGTGAAGATTAGCTGGCTAGTGAATGTGATCCTGGCACAGCTGATGGAGTAGCTTAAAATTTTGTGTGATCTGTGCTTTTTTTAAAAAAAAAAAAACGGTATTTAACTGAATTTCTTTATTTCCCCTTAGTGTGCTCCTCCACTTGTAGTTGCTGCCAATATTGATGAGAAAACATTAAAACGAGAAGGAGTTTGTGCAGCTAGTCTTCCTACAACTATGGGTGTTGTGGCAGGAATTCTTGTACAAAATGTTCTGAAGTAAGTGACTGAGTTGCTGCTGTTTGATGTACAGCACCATAAGCGAAAGAAACATGAAGGAATGTTTCACAGTGATGGGTCTGGTTCTTTTTATGTGTTTGTGGCCTAATTCCTAAAGGTGTTGGCATCGTTGGACAGGGCTGACATACACACTGCTTGACTCACTGGTCTCTTTACTTTGGATCTGCTGTTCTTAATAGAATTTTTCAGGGGTAAAGAAAAGTCTTCAGAGTTTTCTTAAGAATTTATCTTAGTGCATATACACAGGTTTTTTTTTTCCCTCCCCTTAGTTCTGCATTTAAACATGCTCCCATTTGACATCACTAAATTATACACAAAAATGCTACGTGCTAACTCTTTGAAATTTTGTACGCAGACCACGAAGTAGTAATTTCTCTTGCAGTGTCTGTATTCTAACCTGAGGTGAATTAAAAATAGGTATATAGCAATAGGAGATATTTTAATATTTTTAAGAAGTACTGTCACGTGACTCCAGCTGTTAAAAGAGCTCCATGTGTCAGCAAGGAAAATTCTGTAACAGCTTCGTTTTTGGTTTCAAAACGATGCACTGTCTTTTACAAACATCTTTAAGAACAGGATCTTAGTTAGCCTATTTTTAGCCTTAGCTTGGTTTTGTCAGGTACCCAAAAATTTCTAGTTACAAAGAATAAAAGTGCTGTTTGCAGATGTGCCTACAAACACCTAAGGACCATTTTCAGCTCTGCAGAGAGAGGTATTATATAAAAATGCATAGCGGCAGATGCCTCACGAAGAATGCAAATGTTGCAGCTTAGTTTAAATCTTTATTTTCATTGCCAAGATGACCCTACGGTAAAGATGATTAAACTGATTCTGATTAGGTGTTGAAAACTCTCCCTTTGTAATACAGGGCACCTGAGTGTTTCAGGCAATGGATTAGGGCACAGGAGAAGACTGCTTACATTTAAACTTTTTTTTTTCTGAGTCTGTAGCTGACTTGTTCTCGCGCAATTACACCATAAGAGGACTGGGTTCCATGATGATGCAGTTACACTGTGGTCAGGTGACTACAGTTTATTTTAAAACAATTACAGTAATTTTTTACAACTTCACTAGTGTGAAAGTGTATTCTAAATGTTCTTTGAGGAAAAATTATTCCTTGAGCAACTGAATTTTTAGGTTTGCACCTGTATTTAAGGGTCTGCTTTCTCTGTTTATGTTTCTAGATACCTGTTAAATTTTGGTACTGTGAGTTACTATCTCGGTTACAATGCGATGCAGGATTTCTTTCCAACTATGTCTATGAAGCCAAATCCACAGTGTAGTGACCAAAATTGCAGAAAACAGCAGGAAAAGTATAAGGTAAAAATGTTTTGGGTTTTGGGTTTTTTTCCCCTTTCTTAAAGTCTTAAGAACAAAGCAAGCTGCAGACCTGTAGTAAAAGAAAATGTTCATCACTATTGTCTTCAGATGGTTGCATGTGTTTCTAAAAATACAGTACTTAGATTTATTGTAAAGCAAAGGGTAGACAGAATGTCTTGCATTCAGTTAGATAATACTTCCTTCTGCACTAATTGCTCAACCTTTCTGGCAGTCCTATATTTTTGAGTGTTAATGGGTTTGTTTTTTTTTTTTTTCTAATCTTGCAGGTATTCTGCATTTTTATGCCTAACAAAGTTTTAAATAATGATTGGATATCTTAAATATTTTTAAAGTGTGAATATTCGATTTGATTTTTGCTGTTGTTTAAAATTAGACTATTACATATACTGTGGGGTTTATTTTTTTTTGCCGTTTTTCTTTCAGAAAAAAGAAGCAGCACGACCAAAACAAGAAGTAATTGAACAGGAAGAAGAAATAGTACACGAAGACAATGACTGGGGTAAGTAATCAGCTGGAGACAAAACGATGTTCCCAGTACCAAGCTTCAATTAAATTCTTTGGTTTTGGTGAACGCACTGCAGGGTACACGGGACTCCTCATGGTTCCTCTTTCTTGTGCCTTACACTGCATAACGACTGCTGGCTTTTCATAGGTTTTGACAGTAATACTAACACAACTTGATGTAGTTTTGGCATAATGTGCAGGTCTTAGGGGCAAAAATTAACAGTGTTTGTGTAAAATACTTTCTCAGAAGATGGTCTGAAGATACGAAAGATGTGAGAGGATTTATTTGCTGTGTATTCATTTTAAATATGTAGCTAAAGATCACTTGTCTTTTCCATAACGACTACACTAAGGCATCCCCATAGAGCTTTTTATTCCTCTGAGGCTTTAAATCAGAAAGAATTGTGTTAAGAAATGGTACACGCATTTTATATAACCGTTTCAAGACTGGATAGCTGTGTTCTGTTGGTTACACAATGGAGCAAATAATCTTAGCTTACCATTGGTAAGTGTCCTCACAGTGAGATTAAACTGTTAAGGACATGAAGTCCTGTAGGAGAGGTGCCGCTCTTGTCCACAAGTGCCACGTATGGAACCATTTCATATATTGTAAAGTGAGAATGTTTTGCACTGATAATGGGAATGAAGTAAGTGAAATCAAAGGTCTTTCCACTTTTAAATTTTTTCTATTTTCGAAAAGTAGCTGCAGTTTCCCTTGTGATGTGATAGTATGGTGATTAATGAACTTTTTCATCTAACTTCTAATGGAGTTCTCAATTCCTTTTAATGCAAAGGCATCGAGTTAGTATCTGAGATTTCAGAAGATGAGCTGAAGGCTGCATCTGGCCCAGTACCGGAGCTTCCCGAGGGAATTACGGTAGCATATACTATCCCAAACAAGGTAATACATTTATTCTATCTGAATACGCTTATTTTTTAAATACATCATATAGACGAGATGTATAATATGAGCCTGTTTGGTTACCCTTGAAACCTAAAATAAAATTCTGTCTTGAACAATTCCAGTAAAATTGCACCTCAGTACATCGACTGCTGTCTTCTACGGTCCAGTTCTGGGTTTCTATGAAATACATGTCTGTCAGTATGGATGTCAGCGTGAGTGTAGTTCTGAGTGATAGGAATGAATGTATTTGGGGGACAGGGAAGAGAAAGAAAATGTGAATTTCTCAGTTGATATTTTGGTGACTAATATTTTAACAATATACATTTTGTAAAAGCTATATGGAGTCAAAGAGCAATTAGTGTACCTGGGCAACACAGAATAATCTGTACGTATCACAGCCAGAACGTTACCACTCCCAGTCAGAATACAGTTTAAGTTTATAATCACTTAAGCCTTAATCTTGCAACTGAGTGCTTGGTTCTAGGAAAATGGTGTGGTATAATGGGAATAAAGCTTATTTGGGTGGGGCTTTTTGTTTCCTGTTTTTGTTGTTGACTTTTTCTTCCTGTTCCTAATAGGAGGAGAATTTGATTGCTGAGGAAACAGTAGCTGAGTCTGAAGAAAGCCTAGAAGAACTCATGGCCAAAATGAGAAACATGTAGCAAAACAAATACAAGTACAACTTTGGGAAGTTTGGATTGACATTGGATTTTGAGAAGACCAGACTTTTTTTTTTTTTTTTTAACCTCTACTGAAGCTTAACTGTTCCATTTCATCAGAAATGTAAAGATACAGGGGCAGGAAGGAAACAGACTTACTTTGTTTCTATTCCGTTGTCTAGTCATATCTTTAAGATATGGAGCTGTGCTACTCTAAATTTTAATTTCTCAGCATTGCTAGTGTCCAGACACTCAGTAGAAAATAAAAGATGGATAAACTAACAAAACCAGGCATAGCACATCATATGAAATATCACCTGATGAAAAGAGTATGTAGTATAGGACAAGTGAAAGTTAAAATCTGCTGGAGTGGACAGAGCAGGTCACGGGCAGGTGCTCGTGCCTCACTCACAGTGCTGCTCCTGATTTTCCGGGCACTTGTGCTTGGTGTCGTTCACTGGTCTCTGTAAATTCTTGGCATGAATTGTGCTGTGGCTACTTTTTCTGAGTAATCAGAACATTTCGGCCTTTTCATCTGCCTTAAATAGCTCTGGGATGGATTTTTTTTTTTAAAGTTCCCTAGTTTTATCTGTGTTTTACTACTTCTTGTTTTTAAATTGCAATCGGTATGTTTTGTATCTGGTAATACTTTGAGTATGCTACAACAAGGCAAAGTCTTTTGTTAGTCAAGAATTATAATATCAGACTGGCTCTGAGCATGCTACTCTTACAGCTGGCAGATGCTTTTCATGACAAAATCTGTAAGAATTACCAGCAACATTAGAAAGAACAGGAGATCTTGTCTGTCTCTTCAGAAATCTGAGTAAGGTGTTTTTGTCAGTTATTAAACTTTTAGCTGTAATTCTGATCCATCTCCATCATACAGACTGTATCAAGGAATGTACTTAATCTGAGTTTGTTTAGTCTTACAAGTATCTTCAGTGGAACAGCTGAGCTATTGTATTTGTCTTGTAAATAATGTTAGTACAGTTGTGTTACCTTCTAACTTATCAGGTGTTAAAACGAGCTGTAAATGTACACATCGCGTAGTGCCAGTACACTGCAGAACTGGAAGTAGCCATTTCAAGTATTTGAATTATTGTGGGTATGTCTGATCCAGAACTTGATCACTAGATTTAACTTAGAAGAACATCAGTTTCAGCCTTTGCAGTAAAATACAAATGTTAGCACCTTGGGCTGTTCAAAAACCAGCATAATGCAGCTAACCCTGAACCAGCTAGTAGGGGTAGGAGCGGGATTCAACCACCCTCTAAAAAGCACTGTTGGGGCTGTGCTTCTGTTTCTTAGGGCAGCTGAATGAAGACGGTTACAAACTTCACAATCTGTTTCCTCCACAGCTGACCCTAGATTATATTATATACATAAAAATCCTCTATGAAGCTGGTGAGGGAGGTTTGGGGTGGGGTGCATTATACTGTAACATGGAAGTGGGTTTTTTTTTGGATTAAGTTCAGTTTGGGATAAACCGGATTTTAGAAATGAACTGTAAAGGAGGGATGGGAAATAGAATAGTGAGATCGTGTAAAAGGTACATACTGGAATCTGTGTCCCTGAGTCTAGGCTACCTTGATCCAAGTGTCTAGTTAAACATTACTTACATTTCTTTGCAACTTTACCTTTCTGTTGGGAACAAGACAAGCGCGGCACACACCTGGCTCTGGAGATCAAGGCAAACAGCTGACCCATTCTACAACAGCTCAGTTAACCCAGACTCAACTATTCAGCTGCCACGACTGCTACCACCTGACTGAGAGCTTTAAGAGAGGCAGCTGTTTACCATTTTACTTCATGGACAGTTTTATGAGCCAATAAATACACTTCTGTACGCCCACTTACAGTTCTTATGTTACTTTCAGACTTTCAACTTGTATATACAAGAAGAATTTGAAATTAGAAAATACATTAAGATGATTGTATGTACCAATGGTTAAAATTAAAGAAAAACAGCATCACAAAACAGCTTTAAGGATCTTTTAATTAAAAAGACATTTACAAGTATAATCTACTCCAACTATAAAATGGATGGAAAATGTATTACTTTTGTTATGAACTAACAAAGTACATTGCAATAGTTTAGTCCAGTGTTGTTTATTTGGCAGTCTTAGAGTTTTCAGTTTTTACAGTGTATCATGAACGTTACTAAAATGTTGATATTCTGAGTGCATGATTGAATCTCCCTTGAAACTGGTGACACTGTTTGGAGGTGGAGTTCTCCTACACAGAAGTACTTTTTGGTATACACCACATACACAAACCACTTTTTAATATCCGTGAGGTTCACCTACAAATACACGAACACACGATCTTAAGAGCGTTGGGACTAGAGCTGCATAAGCTCATGGCCAGCACCCAGCCTGGCAGACCCTTCACTATTACTCACGATCCTCTTGCTTCCTGTAGGAAGTTTGCTTTGGGTTGACAAGGCAAGCATGTTGTTTCCTCACCATCCTTGCTGACGCATCATGGATGGTTGGGATGTGGTACTTTTTAGGGACTGATTTTTCTTTCAAAAGGAACCCTGCAACCTATGAATAATTGGAGATAACTCACTCAAGGGAAGAATAATCCAGAACTGGAAATCACTGAAGGGGGAAAGTCTGATACAACACTGAAGGGCTAGAAAGTAGCTTCTTATTTAAGCTAGCAACATTAAGGAAAATTATTTAGGAGAGCAAGATACATCATTATACATGTTAAAATTGGAACAGAAGTGACAAACTAGACCAGACATCTGATAATTCACAACACTGGCTTTGGAGGAGGAAATTACTAGGTCTGAGAAGAGTAGGCAACAGCAACACATGCAAGCTGAGAAGGGTGAGGTTATGGGGCCTTGGGTTTTTTGTTATGGTTGTCTGCTTGAGGTTGGTTTTTTTTTTTTTTTTTTTCCCCTTTTGTTCCTCTCCTTACTCGGTAACAATCCTGCAAAGAACTTTCCAATTTTCAAAACTTTTCAAGGTATTTGGGATACAGTGGAAAAACTCTTGCTTTGATTAAAAAAAACCTTTTTCTGAAGTAAAAGGAAAATATCCAGAGAGCTATTATAAAGTGTCAACTCTCATTGCTGTATTGTAATACCTTCAAGAGCCTTTTCTGATTTTTTTTCACCTAAATCTTCAAAATCAAATTTGGGTTGTTTACTGTTTCTTTTGCCAAGATACTAAATTGCTTTAACCAGAACACGGGCTGAAATGGGTTATATTTAAATCTAGTCTAAAAGGGAGAAAATACTGTGGAAGGTCCCTTTGAGGTAAAGGCCATTTGCATTTTTCAAACCGGATCAAATGTTTACATCAGTTCCCTCTGAAACATTGCAGTGAGTTTCCAATTTTTCACATACATTCAATTTTTTAATAAAAAGTCTTTTTTAGTATGTATTTAAACTGACTCATGGATTTATGCACTGAATGAGAACAGACTGCAGACTAATTCTTCCAGATGACTAGGGTATTAAGAAATACAACAGGCGGGTAGATTTGATTAGCATCTGATGGTGAACTATTTTGCATCACTGGGTTTTCCCAGCTAATACAAACATTCTTGTATTTTAAAGGATTCAATGAGATTAAATAGTGAAAGTATCGCTAAAAGATTAGCGACAGAGAATCAGGGCATAATCGTCTTTGTTCTGATTCCTCACTGGAAGTATTTTTACTGAACACAGCTGAATCTGACGACAACAGCTTTAACTGTAGATGATGATCTATTAGGTTCCCAAGGAAACCAATTATTTTTGCACAAATCCTTGAAAGTTTGTTTAGAGTGGAAATCACCCTGCAGGTCAAACTTTAGGTGGAACAGTATTTTGACATTTTCAAATTTACTATCTCTCTAGAAACAACTTGAAAAGCTTCTGAAAAGGCAGAAAGGATCAATGAAACAAAAATACCCAAATCCTCCAAGTCATGCTATTACAACACAGCAAGAGGAACTACCCCACAGAGTATGCACTATCGGTTCAGTTTAACTTGCTATAATCCCGGCACTTAGGCGAAGAGGTATTTAATCCATGGTTTTTTGGTATTAGCTGTAACTTGAGCTAGGAACTGATGTGCGTATCTATACACAATGAAAGCAGCTCACTTCGTACCATACAGTCTGCAAAGTTAACGTGGAAGGATTTCAAGCTTAAACTTTGTTCCCCTGTCATTCATGAAGACAGGTGTCAGTCCCAAAACTGTACACTAACCTAGGAAAAACAGATTTGTCTCAACGATTTTATGTCTGCTTCAAAATAGCAATAGGGCCTGCCTGCCTTTTACCAGGTTTCTGTCACCTTTGTCCATGGTCCAGGAAGATGTTTGGTGATAATGCACTTTTTAAGCTGAATGTATCTCCACTCGATGAGTGTCGAGAAGTTGCTTTTCCACCTATCAACAAAGTCTCTGCTTCTTTTATTTCCATTGCTCTCTTGTAAAGTTCAGCTGCCTTCTCAAAGTCTCCCCCTTCATAGCTTTGGAGAAGAGTAAAACAAAGTTGAAACAAGCAAATAAAATAAGTCTCAATTTAAACTGAAATGCACACCATGCTATCAACAAAGTATACTTAAGGCTATCTACTTTCCTAATAAGTACACAAGTCCAAGATGTTTTGTTTCATCCAGTATTTTTAATAGTAATTCACTTTTATAGGGCTTAAAACAGATCATCTTACCTTAGCACAGCCAAGTTTTTCAGAGTTTCCCCCACGCGAGGATGCATGTGACCAAAGCTGTCTTCATAAATCTTTAATGCACGTTCATAAAGAGGCAAAGCTTCAAGCTGCTTTTTCTTTAGGTAGTAGAAAGTTGTTTGTTACAGACGTATATTACATTTGCTATTTTTTTTTTTCCAACGTAACATCAAGACATCCTAGATGCAAAGTCATGCATATTTAACCACAAAGGTGTTTTGAGTTCTTAATAGTGTTGACAGATGAGGGTGAGAGAGATTGTCAAAGCAATTGGCTTGCACTTGCAAATACTATTCCCACTAATATAATAATTAGGGTCTGGACTTCCTAGGCAGTTTTGAAAATCTCAGTCCTGAAAGTTTTGAGTTACCAAACGCTCTTGGATTTTACCTGAGGCAGCTTTAATCCCAGTTTAAAATCGGATATGCAGATTGCAAAAATACAGAAAACAAGAACATTTACAGCTCACTCCTACTGATGCTAAATAAGGAATACAATTAAGTTGATTGCATCTCCTTTGAATCTCATATTAGTTGTAGATTACAAAGTCTACAGTCTTCTCAGATTTTAGTTACACAGAGTTCCAGTTGATCAAAGTGGGCACTCTTCATTCACAGACACAAATTTCAAAGGACTGTTTTTCCCTCCAAGTCAGCGGTGGAGCCGTGCCACTACCGCTGCTGCACTCTAGCTCCAGTCTTACAAAACACGGAGGCATTCTGAATAATCTGAAGAGCGCTAGCCCAAGAGCTCTTGTGAAATACCACTCACAGCAATTATCTGTTCCCTGCATACAGTCTCCTTGCCAAATACAGTTTCAATTTTTAAAATGGAGCCTAAGAATTTGTAAGTCTTAGAAGGAACTTCCCTTTTAAATGTGATCAAGTTTCTTTGTTATCACTTAGGTACAAATCATAAAAAAGCCAAAAGACAGGAACAATAAGCATGTAAGACATGAAAAACTTACCATCTGACAATACAGGACAGCCAGATTTACCAAAGCAGTTGCTACACTAGGGTGTTTTGGGCCAAATGACTTCTGTCGAATTTCAACCGCCAGTTCGTATAGAGGAACAGCCTTGTCAAGTTTTCCCTAGAAATAACAAGGAACAAAGGATTCAGTTGTCTTGTGTGAAAATGGTAACAGTGAAACCTATTTTAAGCAAAACCCCTTGGAAATGATCTAACTGCTTCCAGAATAAGGGTTTAACTTTGGTTATTTCAGTTATATTCTGCACAGATTGTTTATCATGAGTATTTATTGGGACCTAATTTTCCAAAATACTGAGCACATTCAACTCCCAGTTAATGTGTTTCTCAGCTATGTCTATTTCTTTTTTAATTTATTTTTTTCCCCACGTGTCTCATTGAGAAGGCTGTTAAAAAGAATCCTCAGTTGTACTTTTATCCAAATAATTTTCTCCATTTGTATTTCCTCATCCTGCCATAAATGAGAGCAGAGCTTATTTTTTGTCCTAAAGGGCTGTAATTTTACTGGTGATAGGGGAATGGGAATGTAGCTGCCCTTAACCTTTGAGCAGTTGTCTGCTTACTGAAGTGGTGTTCACTCCATCTCCTTTGGAAGAGCCGCAGTGTCCAATGCCATTTCAAGTACCTGTTGCTTCCTGTTTGCCATATTGAGGCTTTGGCTTCTTGACTTTGGTTTCTCTAAAATAACCCTCGCATATTCCAACTAGTTCTACTACAGATTATTTTTCCATCAAAACTGTTTTCTTCCAGAAATGAATCTGCTCATACCTTAACTGGATATACTTATATGTTTAGGCTTCTACTATTAGTATATGAATTCTCATACGTAATAGCAATTAAAAATTAAACACTGGAAACTTCCATTGTATAATCGTTCACTACAATTGCAAAATTCCTATTAAATTTTTTTATTTTTTTTTCAAAGCATCACCATGTCACAGTTTGAAGATGATCAGTAATTCATCTGGAATAAATACTTATCTATAAATAACTGTCATTTTCTACATCTGATTCCTGTCCTTTCTCTTCCTCTGCTCTTTCCTGTGTCACTAGTTCACCATGAAGTTTTATTTGTGCTCCCACAAACTAGTAAAGAGCTTTCTGATGCAAATATTGAGTTTCTAGCTGCATGAAAATTAGAAGCTGAAGCAAGCAGAGAATGCAACCCAA